AGAGATATGGTGGATGATATGCAAAGATTTCCACCATGTATTAGTGAGGTGTCACATTTTAATCAATTCAATTTTTCCTTTTTTTTTTAAAACCGAGAATGAGAGAGAGAGAGAGAGAGGAAAGGAAATTGGATGTTGGGCTCATATTTGATTATCAACTGAAATTGTGTAGCCCAAAAATAAATTTTTCGGCCCATTGGGCCCTCATACACGTTTTCGGCCCAAATGAGTAAAAGGAATGGGTTTTCATGAAAAACAATTGAATGGTTTTTGGCCCAATAAGGCCCATGAAGAGTCTTATGGCCCAAAATACTATTATTTAATGAATGTGGGTCCATCTAGGGCCCAAATAAGGATTTTTAGCCCAAAAGGACCAAGTTGAGGAGTTACTGGTCCACTAGGCCCAATAAATGAATCCTGGCCCAATAAGAGATTTGAACCGGGAAGTTAGGGTTACAAACCCAAAGTTGAGTGAATGTAGCGTATTGAATTAGGTTTAGGGCTTCACGTGTGAGTTTTGATTCGAATTGTTGTTGTTAAATGAATAACATGTATAACATCATACTTAAGGTTACAAGATACATCAAAAGTAATTACACATGGACATAATTCCCTAGCCTTAATACTAGTTGTGACATCATCCCCCCGTTAGAGGGAATTTCGTCCCGAAATTCTTTTGAAAGTCGGTCTTAAGAGCTAGAGAAAAGGTGAGGGTACTTTTGCATCATTTGATCTTCGCGTTCCCATGTGAATTCCGGTCCATGTTTAGCATTCCATTGAACTTTCACAATCGGAATGCGGCTTTGTTTTGTACGCTTCACTTCTCTGTCCATGATTTCAACCGGTTCTTCGATGAACAGGAGATTCTCGTTCACTTCGATTTCATCCAAGGGAACAACGAGACTTTCATCTGATAGGCACTTTTTCAAATTGGACACGTGGAATACGGGATGTACGTTGCTAAGTTCTGAGGGCAATTGTAGCTTGTAAGCTACAGGACCAATCCGGGCAAGGATCTCGAACGGTCCGATGTATCGTGGATTTAGCTTGCCCCGCTTTCCGAATCGTACCATACTCTTCCAGGGAGAGACTTTCAGTAGCACCCGATCTCCGACTTGAAACTCCAGAGGCTTTCGCCGTTTATCAACATAGCTCTTTTGTCGGTCTCGCGATGCTTGGAGTCGTGCCTTGATTTGAACTATTTTTAGTTTTTCTTTACTTTGTTTATGTAATAAGGTTCAAAGCATGTTATAGCCTTTTTATTTTGTTGTTTTGTATTTATAGGTTTAGATTGTGTGGCTTATGGGGCCTTCCCCGAAGCTTTTCCTTTCCATAGGTGGTAAGTCTTCAGCCTACAATTTTATTAATTTGTTTTCTAATTAATAAAAATTTACGGAGGTGCCGCCCTCCTTTACCAAAAATATAAATTATATTTATATATCTATCGTGAGGGGCCTTTTTTGCCTTGGACCTCAAATCGTCTTGGGACGCCCCTGGAAATTTCCCAAAAGCCAAGAACCAACAAAACACAACTTCAAACTTAAAGAAACAAAAAATCATCCTGTAAACACAAAAAAAAAAATCGCTGAAGAATATACCTTGTGTTGGTGCAGGTGAAGAAGGAAATCAATGGAAACAAAATCATACCCAAACCAAAGCCTAGATTTGTTTAAATCTGAAATTAATTTGTATCTTCTTTTCTCTTCCAGTTGTTTTGACGGCGTAGTGCACGTAGATGTATGGTGAGTAAAGTGGTTGTGATGGGTTGTGTTTTGAGAGGTTTACGGTTGTGTTTTCTTTATAGAAGCTAATATGTGCTAATGATTGAAGTAGGACGTGATGATTGAAGCCAATGGAAGTTATGCCTGCTTCAGTGGTATCATGTTTACCACCTCTATTCATAAGTTCTCTTCATATAAAAATTATCCAATAGATTTTTTTTTAAAAAAAAAAAACAAAACAAAACAAAAACAAAAACCTATGAACATATCCGATAAATTGATTATCTTTGTGGTTAAGTATGTTTGTAATCTCAAAACCCTAAGCCACCAAATTGAACAAAATCAAAAACCCACCAATCAATTTACATGTGGCGGAGATAGCATATGGCATAAGGAGAGGGTTCGAGAAAGCAGGTGGCATGAATAGAAGGTGGAGATGTCAGCGAAGATGGTATGAATGGTCGATTTCTGCATTCGTTGGTTACATGATTCGGTGGTTACAGAGAACGACGGTGACCGGGGCGTAAGCAATTTGAAGATCGAAACATGTATTGGTGTATTGGTACAATCTCTATCTTGGAATACATTCAACATATCTCAATGATTGTGTATTTGCAGTCGTCGACCGTCTTCCAAGTTTAATCAAGGCGTATAATTGGGAGCGATAGAATCTACTATTTTATTGGAAGCTAGAGAACACGAGGAAAAAGCAGGGACCAATTGCCAACCTCCAACCACAAAAACTATTGTGGCTAAATTCTGAAGTGCAAAAACTTCACTCTTGATAAGGCTCGGGACAATTAAGATTATATATAATGTGAAATGAACGGTAAGATAATAATTTTATAGACGATGAAAGAATTAAGGAAAATGATGTGATATATAAAATGTAAATATATGGGGAATGTTGTGACTGTTGAGCAATGTTTTAAAAACCGGTTTGAACCGGCCGGTCGAACCGGTTGGACCGGGAATCGGAGAAGGGAGTGGTTCAACTATCACCGGGTTTATATGTCTATTTCTGAACCGGATCGAACCGGCCGGTTTTTACAAAAATCCGGTTGAACCGGTTAAACTGAATAAAACACATGGAATTGAAACCTTTTGCATAATAAACTTTTATAGTTTTTTCACATTTATTAAAATTTTTCTAAACAAAAGCACATGATAAATGTTATGAAGTTTTATGATGCGTTTATATTCATCTAAGAGTTTATTTTCTTTTTAATGCACGTGGATTAATGTAAAACTTATGGTTATTAGTTATTTTAATGTATTTATAGATTGATCAACAACTTGTTTTCATGTGTATTTTAATGTTTGAACTTGTGGACATCAAATTCTTGATTTGTGTATGTATTTATGTGTAGAAAAATATAAAAAGGATGAAAATTATAGAAACCGGTTTACTCAGCGGTCGAACCGGTTAAACCGGAAACCGGTCACTATACCGTTCAACTAAAAAACCGATTTTTAAAACATTGTTGCAGAGTACACAATTTTAATATGGGGAGTGTGATGACCACACAAATTTATTAGCCTTTTTATTAATCACAATATCACATACGTTATCCAAGTGAGTACCATGATACCATCGGTAGAGAAATAGATTGCATAAGATTACTTATGAGCTCGCTCATTCTTTAAACGAATTTCATGAGAATCATAAACTAGAAATCAAGCCCCCAATTAGATGTGGATATCCGGCCCGTATATTTTAGAATTGGTTCTCTAAGACCATCCGTTATACCCATCACATACCACATATGTGGTGGGTGCCACATCATCACCACATTCCCCTACCACATACATGAGATACTTACCACTAACACACCACTCCACCTCATTTTTTTATTTAAATTTAATTCAAAAACAGAATAAAACATATTTTTTTAAACTAGTTCTTTATTCAATGAAACATGATTACATTAATTTAAAATACACAACATAAAATAAAAAAAAACATAAACATGCAACCACAAACAACTTAAACTATTTTTTAAACCTTATTTTTAATCACTAAATTTTGGGCACTCTTTCAATTTTCGCCAAGTTTTGACGTGTTTAAACGGTGTGTGTTTCGTGTCTTCATATTGGTGCATGGCCACAGCAAACGGGTTGCCTTCGTGTGCGTTGTTTATAACAAAGTTATAAATACCGTTGAATTCAAGACATTTAACCCTCATATCGCAAAACTTCGCACATATTTCATCAAGACTACGACTTTGGTAACCCATTAAATCACAGAAAGCGTTTCCAACTTTTACCCAAAAATTAGGAGGCGTTACTGGATCTTCTAAAGCCGCTACCCATGCTCGTGCTAAGTTCTCTTCTTTATTTTCTGACCAATTCATCCTTTTAGGAGCCATTGGTTTTAAAAGAATGTAAAAGAAGTGTGAGATTTTATGAGAAAAGAAAGAAGAAATTGTGTGAGTATGTTTAATATAAAGTGTGATATTTATAGAAGAAGTTTAATATGTTTGAAAGGTAAAGAAAAAAAACGTTACAAAGAAACTAGTCGTTGCAGAGCATCGACCAATACCCATTTCCGTTTGATTTCGTGGAACACACAACGAGCGAACACGACCACGATCGACCACGACCCGCCAGGATGGTGTGCACGGTCGTGGTTGTGGTCCACGTATACCACGATCGATCTCGTGCTATGTATACCGCATGGCCTAATGGATCAGTTGCAAATATTTTAACAAAATCATTAAAAAGCAGCATTAATGTCATAAAATGACAATTTTATTATTATTATTATTATTATTATTATTATTATTATTTTGAAAAAGTAGCATTAATTTTATGGTGTAATAATAACTTAAAATAATTATATAAGGCTAAAGAGTATGGTGTATTTTTGGTCAATCGTAAAAAAATGTCATCTAGACGTCACATCAACTTTTATATTTTTTATAATTTTAACCTACAAATTAGAGTGTGGCAAATGGTTTTACCTATGAACTTTTTTTTAAATTTCAATTTTTAATAAAAAACCATATTAAAATTAAAAATAACATAAAATTAAAAATTAAATTTTAGAAATCCTAAAAATAAAAAATAACATGGAATTAAAAATTACATTAAAAAAACATGAAGTGAAAAATTTTAAAAACCTAGAAAAAAAAAACATAACATCCAAATTTCAATTGCGTATGAGCTTATATTTTTTACGAATCAAAGCCTTTACCAGTTTAGCTGCCTTCTGATCTTCGGGGTCGAGGTGTCTCACATCTTGCATCAAAGTTGTATTCAGTTATGCCATTTGTGCCATCATTTCCTCCGATCTAGTTGACCGCTCCATTCCGACTGAAGAATTTGACGATGTCGCTTTTCCTCAAGCTTTTGTTTTGTCCCTTCCCATGGGACGAGGAGGCGTACGTATTTCTTCGATGTCGTTGTTATCATCGATAAGGTCAACGCCAATGTGACCATCCGATGATATTTGTTGTGAACTTGAATATGAAGATGTTCGGCTTCTTTTTGGCGGATTAGCAACGTCTTAATGTGTTGCAAGCTCCTTCCACCTAATGCTTCTTTTGACAACTTCCCACACATGAATGAACTTAAAAGGCTTCAACATGTCATCTTGGAATGTCGCGTGCGTTTTTTCAACAAACTCGCTTCACTTTTGTCGCTAGCCCATTGCTTTTCGAAGTTTGTGTAAATTCCGTTCCATTGTGTCACGAGTTTGTTAACAAGATTCCATTTTGAGTTACATTGGTCGGACGTCCGGTAATCTGGGTCTCGACCCATACCATTACAAAACCACTATGTAACATGTAACCAAAATTGATCACGCGATTGGCCCTTTCCCATGTTGTTATCTTCTGATATGCTGACCCATGCCCTTGCTAATTCCGTTCCAATTGGGTTTGGGATGTTGTTCGGGGTGGTGGGGATTAGAATTGAAATTGTTGTGGCATTTGGAATTATAAATAATAGCTTTAAACACCGCCTACAAACCCTTGGTTTTGAGATAGATCCATTTGTGGCTAGTAAGGTGGTGGTGATGTTGGATCGTAACCGAAAAGTGCAAATGGGTAAGAAGCATTTTGGTTTGAAGCATTTGGGTTGGAAGATTTGGGGGTGTTGGAAGACATTTTGAATAAAAAGTGTGTAAAGAATGTGTAAATTGGTAATGTGTTGGAAGATTGGTATGTATGTATATATATATATATATATATATATATATATATATATATATATATATATATATATCCGTTGCCAACCGTTGGCAACGTTCCCTTCCTTTCTAACGGTTAAATTTCAAACAATTACCCGGGCGGTGAGAATGCAAATAGCTTGTTGAGATGGCTCATTAGGCTTTGCGACAACCACCATGGCAGGTTGTGGTTCCCATTGCACTTCACTAGGTTTCTTCATTTCTTCATACTTTGACAAAACTTTCTAGACTTCATCATTCACACTCACTTTAACAAATTTTCAACACTCATCATCCACTTATATAAACCATCTTACAAAAAATTAACAGCAACAACTCATATACACCATCTTACAAAAAATTAACATCAACAACAAACAAAAAAAGAAGAAGCTTTTGTTGGAAAGGAAAAAATAGGAATGGAAAACTCAGTTGGAACAACTCAGAGCAACAGCAAACCTTATCAAAAACACAGAAAAATCAATACCAATAAAAATTCTCAGTTGGAATGGGAAAACAATAACAAAATTGGAAGAAACACGCACCTGGTCGTCGGAGGTGGGTTGTCTCTGGTTGCTTCGTCGGAGGAAGAAGACGACTAGACGTGAAAGGCAATAGCAACAGTCGATAACAGTGAGCAGCCCAAAGAATTTTAATCTGGTTATTCTTCAGTGGAGGCATGACAAAAGAATAGGGCAATATAGGAATTGAATGCTTTTGTTCCCGATCCATCAATAGAAAAAGGGGGGACCGAATCTGATGAAAACCTTGGACCGAGTCCATATTTTGGACCGAGTCATTGACTTTTAAATCCTTATCAAACATGCCAATTGGCTTTTTTTGGACCCAATCCCTCTTTGGACCCAGTTAGAACCTACATCAAACGACCCATAACCCCTAACCTAGCAAGAAATTAAGCACGAAAGGGAAGGAATACAAGCATCCAGGAAAATCTAAATAGAGAGAAGGGAAGAGATATACATGTCTATTCATTTACAAGACAAATTTTTTCCCTTATGTTTAAACCACACAAAAGATAAAAATATGATTACCACACAAAAGATAAAAATATGATTTCATCTCTTGTTATTAAGGTTGTGTATTTTTCACTTGTATTTAAGAGGTTATTAAATTTTTATTCATATTATATATATATATATATATATATATATATATATATATTAAAATTCTCCTACCTTAGCTATAGTGAAGTTCCCAGGCATTTGTTAGATTTGGTCCTCAGTCTTTGTATGTTTTTACAATGCTAACCTGTTTCTTTTAGAGGGTATATTTTGCAATTTTCTATATTGTTTTTCCACGTGTTGATTTCTCTTTCTTTCACCGTTTTTCTTGACCAATAGGGACTTCATTTCTGTTACACTATTTCGTTATCTGTGTTTTTTTCTCTTTCTTTCACCGTTCCTCTTCCATTTGTTTCTTTCGCTTTCTTCTCTTAATAACCGACTCAAACAGACCGATCATCTTCTCACATTTGCTTCATCGTCTTCTTCTTCCAATCAACCTCTTCCAGCATCTCCACAACGTCTCTTCCGCTGCACCGCCTGTATACCAGCACCGTCTGTTCCCCGTCTTCATCTTCTCTGTCTCTCGGTAAATATCCTTTCGTTCATAGGGGCTTCACTTTCTTCTTGCTTCTCACCGCCTAATCTTCTCCACCTAATCGCCGTCGATTTCATACATCATTTTATAGAATGACCATCGGGGTTCAGCTCACCGCCTCTATCTTCGACAAAATGACTGAAGCGATGCTCTGTAACCATATATATGTTGTGCCTTTTTCTATCTTCTTTTCTTTCTCTGAAATATTTCCCTGTGGTGTGTGGTCACTAGAAAAAAAAAAGGCAGATGCCGATGGTGGCGCCGCCGATCACCAAAAGTGCAGGGGGGTCGTCCATCCGGTGGCTATCAGAGGCATCTGATCATCATTTATTCTCTCACACAATCACACGTACGACCGGAGGCGTAGACCAAGCAAATCGTCGACCGATACGTCGACGTGTTACCTAATACATGTGTGAAGGAGAAGAAGCGATTTTGTTTCCATTTGAGTTTGATTTACGTGTCCATCTTCACTAACTATTTGCGATTTGGGGATAATTACGACTGATTTTTTCTTTTCCGTTTAGTTCGTTACCAATTTATCGATCGGATATGGCTATTGAACCCTAACCCTCCTTCTTTCAGTCAATTTTCTTCTGCTTCTTATGATTTAAATCAATATGGCTTAAAATTTGTTATTTGATTTTCCTTTTTTCTGTTTGTAGGTTTCAAAGAATTCCAAGTTGATCAGGAAAATGGGAATGAGTACGATATTATTGCTTAACTAAAGTTAAGTGTATGCTCTGAATTCAAATCTGAACTTTGATCTAGATTGGATTGATTGAATTCTTCTGAAATTCTATTTGATTTTATAAAAGAATCTTAATAATTCATGTTTCATGTATGATAATAGGAGCATCTGCGTCATCGTTTTGGTATAATCTAAGAGTACAACATCCTTGCAGGGAAGTACCAATTCTGGACTATGATTTAGCCCTATTGTTTCAGCCTATGCTCATGCTTGGAATCACACTTGGTGTTGCTCTTAGTGTTGTTTTTTCCTATTGGCTCATCACTGTTCTCATCATCATCCTCTTCTTAGGTATCCTTTGTTTTTACTGTTCATACTTTTTGTTTGATCTTATTTCACAATTTGTTATATGTGCATCTTGAATTGAATAATCTTCTATTTTTTTTAGGTTTAGAGTTGCATTATTGATTAACTAAAATTAATAAAAACTACGAGTGTTTATCTGTATGTTATTGTCAAGTAGATTTAGACCAAGGTATTTTATATGATGTTTAGGTATTAAATTATTAATTTATACAAGTAGATGTCACATATGTGATGTGGATCTGTTCATTGACTTGAAGACCAATGATTGCTTTTTCATGAGATTCTTTTATTCTTACATTATTAGGGATTACTTTTAATTTTTTACCAATGATTAATATTTTGCCAATATTTGTTGACAGGAACATCTTCAAGGTCTTTCTTTAGGGGAATTGAGATGTGGAAAGAAGAGTCTAATACTAAAGGTGAAAGTTTTTAGCATTTTTATATACTTTTAGTTATTATTACAACTATTCAATCTCATGTACATAACTTTTTTTACTGAATGCAGAAACAAATGGCAAGGCCACGAGAAACATTTGCCAATTCTCGAGGCGAACGTGAGTTTTGCTATGATCTTTTATATTTAACATTTTGATAAAAGTGATTATATTTATAAAATATGGTCATTTTTTTATTATTATACCATTATTCATTTCAATAACCTTTTTTACAGTTCTGATCGACACATTCGTAGAGAAGAGAAAACTCCAATGGTGAGCATCCTCTTTTCCTCTTCTTCCATTTGACGCAATGGATTTTTTTTTAAATAAAAAGTTATTATATATAATTTGACTCTATATATTCACATTTAATAAAATCATGTATTTTGTCGTTTAGATATGACAACGAATAACCGAACAAACTGCAACAATATTTCTGCTGTTGCTACATACATTTTGTAAGTATGTCATGGGTTAGATGATGTTGGAATGTGGTAAGGAAATGCAAACCCTTCGCTTTTTTTTCAATATTTTCAATAATCTTTGCTTTTTTATTTGAAGATTTTCATATTCGCTGCATTTAAACACATACATTACACATTTGTCATCGACATTCTTTCAAATAGTAAAAAAAAACTCAATTTTCAAAGTGATAAGCAAAAAAAAAAGTTGCCGGTATGATTCAAAAATAAACAACCCAACAAAATTACATTGTTATATATCATGTATTTATCAACACCAGTTTAGCCCGATCCTAATAACATATTTCAATACAGTACAAAAAAAAATTCACTTTCCTTATTTTAATGCAATTGTTTATTGCGAGAAATAGCAACGTACTTAACCTCTATGCTTTAATTTTTACCCATAATATTGGTAATAGAAAGTTTTAACCTTTTGGTTTTTTCTTTGTTATGTGGCATGAGATCAAATGGAGAAATTATTAGACGGTAATGGGTTAGCAGTCATTTCCTATTGATAGTTATTACAAACAACAACTCAACGTTCAAAATTGTGCTACTGAACGGATTCGGGTACTAGACGGTAATGTTTCAGAAAAAATTGTAAGTTTCTTTTATAGTATGGTACTTTCAGCTTTTCATTATTAAAATATTACATTTTTAAAAATGAAAATAGGATGCTATATAAAAAAATCAGCATAAGTACGTTGCTATTTATCACATTTATTTTTAACCTTTCACTTTAATTGTATGAATTCACGTTGACAAATACACTTGGCGAGATCTTCAAAGGGTTAAGATGTTATATTGGCGAA